GCAAATATGAAATCCTATTACAATACATCAAATAATTCTAGGTTTGCTAGCCTCAAGGTGGGGGATGGTGATCTCCCAGAATTACAACCGTTCTCCAGGTGACAGAAACAACTTATTTGTTTATTTAAAATATTTATTCTACTTCTCCTGGAGAAAACGGCTGCTTGGGAAGGTGGACTGCATGGCATTATACCCTGCCGAGGCCCCTCCCCTCCCTAAGCCCCACTCTCCCAGGCTCCACCCTCTAACCTCCAGGTATTTCCAAACACGGAGTTGGCAACCCGAAATAATTCACTATTAACTAACAAAGTCTCTCTAGGCCAAATGCAGCATCTCCAGGTTCCAGCACCTTTTCAAACGCATTAGGCAGGGATCCCAAGTACTTACCTTAATTCGGCGGGGGATGTATAGTTCTTTGCGGGACCATTGCCGCGGGGAAAACACAGGCGCTACACTGTTCCATTGCCCAGACGTGATGTAGGCACGTAGCTGGGTGACGCTCTAGCAATGGGGCTGGAAACTCGATGGTACCATCGAGTTTCCAGTCCCATTACCAGAGCGTCGCCCAGCGACGTGCCTACATCACGTTTGGGCGACGAAATAGTGCAGCGCCTGTGTTCCAAGCAAGAATCTTCCGGTGGAGAAGCATGTGTCCCCCGCCGGATCGTAGGTAAGTACTTGGGAACCCTAGCATCAGGGGTCAAGGGGTGGGAGAGGGCAGGTAGAACAGCTTGGCCTGGAAGGCAAACTCTCCCCAGGCAACATGTGTTATGGCAGGGCCTAGACAGGTCAGAGGATATGTGCTCACTCTCTTCTGCCTTGCTCTGGGAAGTAAAGGATGCTTCTTGAAGAGAGGCCGTGCCCCCTGGTTCTCTGTACAGCCACAACACATCAGTAAGAGTTGGTGTATAGGGTTGCCAGGTCCCCCTGGTCTCTGGGCGGGGGCAGAGAGCCTAGGGGTGCCAGTTCCATGTCAGGAAACCCCTGGAGAATTGGGGGTGGAGCCTGGGGAGGACAGGGACCTCAATGGGTTACACCACTGTAGAGTCCACCCTCCAAAGCATCTCTTTTCTCTAGAGGGACTGATCTCTGTAGTCTGGAGATGAGCTGTAATTCCAGGAGATCGCCTGTTGGAGTGAGCAATTGGACATGGGGGGGGGGTACATCACTCTAAGTGTGTATAGGCTTTATCTCCTTGAATGGGATGCCTTCTTTGTCTTCACCTAGGATCTGTCTTCTGACTCTTCTCTCTTCCTTTGTCCTCTCACTCCCCTTCCATGGCCTTCCATGGAAACCTGTCTCTGAAGGTCTCTCCAGTAGACACAGTGCCCCCATACTCCCACACACATGATGCCGGGCAAGCTGGCCATTTGTGACAGGGAAAGACCTCTTGAGATTAGGCTTCTCTCTCTTATTTTGACCACAACCTGAATGTGAACCCGATCTACTTGAATAAATGCAAGTTGACCTTTCTCTCTGCAGGAGAGCTACGAACAGTCAGGACCAGGCCAAACACATTTTTCTCTTTATCAGTTGTTCTGTAGACTGATTCAGAACCTAAAAAGGTTAGTCAGGAATAGAAAAGGGCCAACTCTAAAAATCTAATCATAAAATATATTAAAATATATATGTGTGTTTATTCAACATAAATTAAAATAACAAACAAGGGTCCATTCATACCTCATATAAAACTATAAAAACATACAGGGGCTAATAAGATAGACCTAATCAGATAGACCTAACGCGTTTCGGCCTTTACAGGCCTTCTTCAGAGGTCTAATGCATACAGAACATATAGGCTGATGTGTAAAAATACATACAATTCGACATATACAAAATATGGAATAAAGACCAGAGATCAATTGTTCCAAAGTTTAACCACTGGGCAAGGAAAAGAAATACAGAAATACAAATGAAGCCTCCAGTGAAATCACATGTCCAGTGGTACTTCTCTCTGGCCAACTGTATATTCATCTAAGGTTGTACACAGGGGTCATTTCGTAGAAAAAGAGCTAGGGGAACTCATTAGCATAACTCATTAGCATATGCCACACCCCCTGACATCACCGAAAGTGTGTCATAAGGCCACACCTCCTGACATCACCGGAAATGTGTCATAAGGCCACACACCCCGCCCCCAACGGTCCCGGCTGCCGGTGCCGGCCTTGCAGCTCCACTGCCGAGCCCCATGAGGGGCCTGGCGGTGGACTTGCAAGGCCGGCGGGAGTGCAAGGAAGCCCTGAGAAGGCCCTCCCTGGCCCCAGGCAGGCAGGGGTGGGGAGAGGCAGGGAGGAAGCAACTTACCATCCCTCTTCTCCTGCCTCCTCCTGGCTGAATGAGGGCCGGAAGCGGGGCGGCCGGAAGCAGTGGGCGGGGCTTCATCATGTGCCCCGCCCCCCGTACCTCACCCGGGGGAACTGCGTTCCCCCGCGTTCCCCCCCGAAATGACCTCTGGTTGTACAGCCAAATGTTCCAAATGTTCCTTAGGTTAAAAGTGGGCTCAGGGCAGATCACAGTGAAACAGAGTCAGAGACTCGTTACAATAAAATTACATTGCATTAAAATAATTAAAACAGTAAAATTCAAGAGGTAGCAGCAGTGAATAAGGAAGTACCTTTGAAAGTTTCTACCAGTATAGGGTTGCGTAAGCATTTGGGGTCTCACATTAGGCTAAGGCATCATTTGAATATGGTGCTGATAGGCAAGAAAGACATTCTTATGGGACTTTGTATGCATAATTAAACTGGGCCTGTATGCATGCAAAGTGGCCACGCATGCAGCATTAACAAACCAGGAAAATGCCATGGTGGGCTGTGGATTTCTGGTGTGCCAATGCCGCACACATAGCAGTTGTGATCCCATATCAAACAGGGAGCTGAGTGTGTGTAACATCACACAGATAGGTTCTTCTGTCCTGCCAGTGTCGTGCTTAAGAAGATCTTTAGCATGCAACAGCAAAAAAGGGTTGACTGGAGCTGCGAGATAAATTGTGATATTTCAAGGCAAGAAGAAGCATTTTATGACTAAGCTGTTATTGTTTTATAGAGAACATGATGGATACAGCATGCACTAGCTAATAAAGGGATGCTGTTGAATTAATTTTGAATATTGGCGATCCTGGAGAGACTTCGCTCGCCTCTGGGTTGCTTCGTACAAATAATCACTTTCTCTTGAATTTAATATTGTGTTGTATTTTTTAAAAAAAAAATGAAACATTTTAAAAACCGAATGCAAGGAGATAGATGAAACAGACACATGTGTCAAATCAGACATAGTTGATGACGTGTTTGATGGGCAGAGGAGGGAAAGGGAGATCCCTGGATGGGGTCCACTGCTAGCACTATTGCCATGTTCCCGTAAACACGTACACGGTGGTGGTGGAAAATGCCATCAAGTCACTGCCAACTTATAATGACCTCATAGGGTTTTCAAGGCAAGAGATGAACAGAGGTGGTTGGCCATTGCCTGCCGCTGCGTAGCAACCCTGAGGTTCCTCAGTGGCTTCCCATCCAAGTACTAGCCAGGGCCGACCCTGCTTGGCTCCCAAGAGCTGATGAGGCTGGGCTAGCCTTGGGCATCCAGGTCAGGGCAAATGCACACATATACTGCGGTTATTACTACTGCAACTGCTCCTGAAACATAGTGTGGACAGTCATTTTTGCTCGCAAGACAAGGAAGGCCCCTGCCACACGGGGGGGGGGGGGAAGTACGGTCGAAGTGTGGCTTTTTAAAGCCGCACCAAAAGAAACACACGGCGGCGGGATCACATAGATCCCCTGAGCCACCGCGCAGCTCCTCCCCGGCACGATCAGATGCCAGGGGGAAGCCACTTACGGGAGACCGAGGCTGCCGAACTGTGCATGTGTGAGCATGCACAGTTCGGCTGGGAGCCTGGAGTGCTCCAGAAGATGGGCGCGCCAGCAATCGCACGGCCGCGCTTGCTGCGGTGTACCCGGTAAGTCCTCCTCTTCTGTTGGGTTTTTTTTACAGCGCGTTATTGGCCTGAAGGAACGGATCGGGGACGGGTGCGAGCCGATTCCCAGATGTTGCGGTGTGCTCACGCCTGTTTGCTGCGCCCCCGATCCGTCCCTCTCCCGGGCCAAAACCTCCCGTGTGACCGGGGCCATAGTAAACATATTGCAGAATCAAGAAGATGCCATGACTGCATTCCAATCAGTATTGTAAGTAGGCTTTCAGAATTCAGCAAAAAGGTTGCCACTCTTTGTTCCAAAAGTTTTTCATTTCCATCACTCTTCTTTAGCCTTCACCACTTCAGTTAGTTTAGGCATTTCAGTGATACGCCAGAAGTAATTCAACAGCTCTTTTCTTCCTGGAGGTTTTGAGGACAGATGTTTTACCCAATACAGCTGCGAATAAATGTGAGACTAATGAATATTGTTTGATCCTTTACCCTTTATATGAAAAAATACTAGTATTGCAACCACAGATTTAGTAGGTAACATTTTTCGATCTCCTTGAAGGATCCCTCCCCACCCTCAGGATTCTGAAGCATCAAATCCCTTGAGCAAAGACAGTAATGGGATGGATGTGTTGTGTGTTAAGCACCATCAAATCACTTCCCACTTATGGCAACCCGGAATTGATGACCTCCAGGCCATCTGTCGTTTGCTCAGGTCTTGCAAACAGTGGACCCTCGTGGCTTCCTTGATGGAGTCCATCCATCTCACGTTGGGTCTTTCCCTGCTGCCGTCAACTTTTCCTAACGTTGTTGTCTTTTCCAGTGACTCTTGTCTTCTCATAATGTGACCAAAGTATATGAATGAATGTCAATGAATGTATACATTTTTTTTAAAAAAAATGCCCCTGTTCCATACCAGCCTCAGCCCTCTAAAACCTCTATAACCTTTGGTTCTGAGAGTTGGAACCAAAGTCCTTAAAAAAAATGTTCCGAACTTTGAAAAGATTACTGCGGTTCTGCAATTAGGCTCAGAAGTCAGATTTTCAATTATGGTATATATTCCCTTTTTTCTCTCCTCCAGGTCAACATCTGCATCCTCGTAGCAGTCACGAGAGTCATCTCACGAATAAGCTCAGACAACTATAAGGTGCACGGAGATGCCAATGCATTCAAGTAAGCACTTCTTAGCACTAGCTCAGAGATCCAAGAGGATCTGTAGATCTGACATTGTCAGTCCTGGGACATCGTACCTAATCTGTAATCCAAAAGCTTGACTATAGGGAGATGGGATAAACTTTTTTAAATTTCAGAAATAAGTTTCCAGACCTCAGTGTTTACAGAGCAGTTTTCTACTTGACATGTCACAGGACAATTCTGCACCTACATCCTTCCTTGAATTGTGCTGAGGATTCAGCCCACCTTGTTCCAATGAGCTGCCTGTCTGGGCAGCAGAAGAGGGTGTGGGGTGTGTGAATTTTGCCCAAGCACTTCCATTGGGCTGTTCTGCGTTCTCATTTCTGTCACTTGTTTGTCTCTATTCCTTTGGTGTTTTTTTTAATTCTACCTGTATTTTTCTTCCTCTAATGATCAGTTTGCTATTACATCACTGTATGCTCAGCATATCTCCCTGCACATTATTTATTTAGATTTTTATCCCACCCTGAGTATTTCTTGGTGAGTATTGTGTGTGTGTGTGTAGCTTCTGGTGACCCCCAGTGGGGCTAGTGCGTTTCAGAGAGGTGGCTTAATACTGCCTGCCTCTGCGACTCGGCCCTGGTATTCCTTGGAGGTCTCCCTTCCAAGTACTTGCCAGGGTTGACCTTGCTTAGCTTCCGAGATCTGACGATATTGGGCTTGCCTGGGCTATCCAGGCCAGGACATATCTTCCTGTACTTTAAATCTGCAGGGAGATATGCCAGACATACAGTGATGTAATATTGAATCCAGTAGCATCTTAAAGACTAACAAAATTTGTGGTAGGGTATGAGGTTCCATTAGTCACTGATCAGTTCTTCAGATACCTGAAGAAGTGAGCAGTGACTCACGAAAGCTCATACCCTGCCACAAATTCTGTTAATCTTTAAAGTGCTACTGCACTTTTTTCTACTGCTACAGACAGACTAACGCGGCCACCCATCTTGTAACATCGAACCGACCACTAGAGGCAGCAAAACATTTGTGAAAAAGACCCCCCCCCAACCAATAGGGATACACAAGCAACGAAAATTAAATTGCAGTAGTGCCCAGTGAGAAAGCCTGCTGAAAATGCTATCCAACTATCAAAATACTTCAGGATTCTGTTCCACCAGTCCCCCGATCCTAATACCTGTAAGCATAATTCAACCGTGCTTTGAGCTTTTGGTTTTCTTTCCTTCTGGGAGAAAAACAGTGTGAATGGTGACACAGTTTCAGAAGGGACTAGAGAGACCCAATTCTTGGGGCTCTAGCCATGGATGTCCACAGAAATTAATGCCGGGGGGAGGGGCAGGCAGGCAAAGTGTTTTAATGATCGCTATGGGTTATTGATCTGAGTGACTGTAGTCTTTACGCCATTGGCAACAGAGCCCACCCATCAGAAGCAATAATGCAGTGCAGAAGAGAAGCAATAAGAACAGCAGCGAACTCTCCCTGAAGGTGATTTACTGCATTGTATGAGACTGCCCATTTCACAAGTAACCAATAACAAAAAGTGCTTTTATTTTTCTATGTAGCAATAACAGAGTAGGGCACTAGAAAGGCAGAAAGCTTTCATTTGTCTGACAAGATTATAGGATTCTAAACTAAGTGGAAGCCATGCTCCTAATGTTGCATTTCATAGCTCTTACACAGAATCTGCTTTTGTTACGGGGCTTCCATAAGTAAGAGATACTGAAACTAAAATGTAGTCAGTTATCTTTCTGCAAATATATATGCCACCCAGCTTGTATTATCGTGGTATGTAGCGGGCGTATATATCTTATGAATCTTGAGGAAACAGTAGGATCGTTGGATCAGGATTCGGGACCAAGCTGCCTGCTGGTCCTCTCGGCTCTCAAGAAAAGCGCAGAGAATCCTGTTCCCAAACCCTACTATTCTGTCACCAAGATCAGTCCATCAGTGCTTCTTTCTGTGGAGTGTGTGTTTAAATGTAAATTAAAGAAATACCAAAATTGGGACTCCAGGGGGGCAAGCACCTCCCCCCCTTGAGGACACCCTTGGTTCTGGGCACCTGGGTTCCTGAGCAGTGTTCCCTCTAAGCTGAGTTAGTGTGAGCTAGTTCACAGTTTTCTAGCCTCCGGTTCACACATTTTTGCATTAGTTCATGAAGGATGGCTCCAAAGCAAACTAATTTATGCCGTAGCCAAATCGCCTACTCGCAACTTTAATGCTAGTAGCTCACAAAGTAGGATTTTTGCTCACAGCACTCCACAGCTTAGAGGGAGCATTGGTCCTGAGGATCCGGGCACTCATGTTCAGCCAGATTGTCAATGTACTCCTCCCAATTGTCCCCACTACTTTATGTGGATATGCTGAGTCGTCCTAAGGGCACACTGCCTTTAAATAGCCCCTTCACAGCAGCCACGGCATTCAGGGATGAGGACATGGAGTAAGCTAAAGCTGCTACACAGCCCGGTAACTGGTTATTAGCTAATTCATGCTAAGAGGAAGTGAGCTGATTTGTTTTCATGGGATGTTTGGTTGGGTCTGGGTGGTCTGAGTGAGGAACCTTCCTCTGGTGGCCCATGGTGAATCTCTGCGACCTCTGACTGACTAGCCCAAACCATCGTGCAGGAACGGACATTACATTCATAGAGTGGGCACCCAAGACAAACAATAAATAGATTATTCCACTTGGGAGAGGAGAGGATTATAACACCCTCCTGAAGAAATGTTGCCAGTCTCCCGCATTCCTAAAAAGGTTCGGTGTGTTTCAACGAAGGACGAACCTCTGAATTCCTTTCTAGATTAAATGCAGTGGAAACTTTATTATTAATCACACTTTTGTACAAAGTAGGGATGCCAGCCTCCGGGTAGGGCCTGGGGATCTCCAGGGATTACAGCTCATCTCCAGGCTACAGAGATCAGTTCCCCTGGAGAAAATGGATGCTTTGTTTGAACGTTGGACTCTGTGGCATTACAACCCAACTGAGGTCCATGTCCTCCCCAGACTCCACCCCCAAATCTCCAGGGATTTCCCAACGTGGAGCTGGCAACCCTACACCCCCCATCAGTAGCCAGGGGGACCTAGCAATCCTATAACAGAGTCACTCTGTTTATCCTGACAACAACCTTAAGAGGTCGGCTCAGTTGAAGGCCCAAGGTCAACTAGGACATTTCATAGCCAAGCAAGGAGTCAAACCCACATTTCCCTGGCTAGAGGCCAACAATCATCACGTGTGAGCATCAGAAGCTGCCCTGCGCCTTTGGTCCATCTAGCTCACCATCTGCTCTGATGTCCAGCAGAGAACTCTTACAACCTGAAAGCTGGAGAGGAACCAAGAACCGAATCCTGGGGCCTTTTGTATGTAATGTATATACTCTGCCCTGGAATTATGGACCTGCCACGCTAATTCTGAAGAACAAATAAAAGGACTATGGTGTGCAGATCAGAGGGTGTGTGAAGTTGTGCTATTCGTTTTGAAAGGCCTGTGCAAATGGGTTGTTAGTGCACCTTAGAAAAGATGGGAACACTGGTTCCAAAGCAGGACAGAGTATGTTGTTGTGCCCTATTTTTGTGCATCAGCACCCAGTAGTCAGAGCATGAACATCCTCAACTGTTCCCTGATAAAACAGGTACTATTGCACATGGCTTAAATCTTACTTTCCAAAGACGAATTTCTTGTAACTTAGAGTAGTTGTCTCTTTATTTTTTTTAAGCAAGCAAGCAACTTTTCTCATATTGACAGCAAGATCTGAGTTAATGAAACTTAACTCAGTTATTGTATGTCTCTTCAAGAATCGAAGGGGGGAAACCAGTGAATATGCCTCTGCAAAGATCTATATCCTAATTATTCTGTAATGAGTTTGAAATATTGGGAGCGAAAGCGATGGCTGATGTTCCATTTCGGAAAGATACAAGATGTGTCGTCCTGTGGGAGATGAATGGGTTTTTATTGACAAATTGGCATTTGCTGCTCGAGCTAAGAAGCTGAAGTCATCCATAAATTATTGTAAACTTTAGGCAGATCCTCTTATTTGGCTAGTGTTGATTACTGTTTGCATTATAGCATTAATTAGCATTTGCTGTGGGTTGCTTTTGAGACGTAGACCACCAGATCACTGCCAAAATGCTTCTCTCCATAAACAAGAGGATTCTTGTGTTAAAAAATGCCCTCTTCTACTTGGTGAGAAAGCAGGGCTTTCTCTGTTAAAGCCTCTCCCTCTCTGTGGAACTCCTGGCCAAAGGAAATCTAAAACACCAGGATCTCCACCGAAACCACCTCGATGTCTAAACCACCTAGGATTGCCAACCTCCAGGTGGAGCCTGAAGTTTTCCTGGAGAAAACAGCTGCTTTGGAGGGTTGACTCGATGGAGGTCCCTGCCCTGTATACTTCCAAAACCTCCAGGAATCCCCCAGCCCAGAGTTTGCAACCCTAAAATCCCCTGCTCTTTTCAGACCTTTAGGGAGATGGTTAAGGACTCTTGCTGAAGAAGAAGAGAAGAGGGGCTTACAATCTCCTTCCCTTCCTCTCCCCACAGCAGACACCCTGTGAGGTAGGTGGGGCTGAGAGAGCTCTGAGAGAACTGCTCTGAGAGAACTGTATCTGACCCAAGGTCAACCAGCAGCTGTATGTGGAGGAGTGGGGAATCAAACCTGATCAATCCATCTCATGAGTCGATCCATCTCAGGTTGGGTCATCCTCTTTTCCTGCTGCCTTTAAATTTTCCTAGCATTATAGTCTTTTCCACTGAGTCTTGTCTTCTCATGATGCGACCAAAGTACAACAGCCTCAGTTTTGTCATTGTGGCTTTTAGGGAGAGTTCAGGCTTGATATGATCTAGAACCAACTCATATGATTTAGAAGGATATTTGATCTAGAACCCACTTATTTGATCTAGAACCCACTTATGTGAATGTATACAGGTACAAACCTAGGTCTGTTGCAGAGTTCGGTTCCTGTGTTGCATGTTGGGTGATTTATTGTCGCTGGTGAAACGGTGTTTTAAGTTGGGTGGCTGGTCCGTAAGCAAAGAAAGGCCTGCCATCCACGGCCTGTGAAAGAGAAATATCTTTATCTAGAAGAGGCTGTAACTCTCTGATGATATGTTGCTAGGATTGCCAACTATGGATGGGGAAATTCCTGGAGATTTGGAGGTGGGACCTGGGAGGGGTGCCTTTTGAAGAGGGAGCCGACTTAAGTCGTACAGTCCACCCTTCAAAGCAGCCATTTTTTTTCCCAGTGGAGCTGATCTCCGTAATTAGGAGATCAGTCATACTTCTGGGATAGGCTTGCCATGTCCCCCCGGGGGGCGGGAAAACCCCCACCCCAGAGGCCCGTTCCCCGCCGCTAGCGGATCGGGCCCCAGGGGGAACTCCACCCCGACGTGCACGTCGCCCGGAAGTGACGCAGGCATGCTGGGGGCGGGGCCACGGTCATCCGAGGGAAAACTCTATGGTTTTCCCTTGGATTGTCGTGGCCCCGCCCCCAGCGTGCCTGGCGTGCCCGCGTCACTTCCGGGTGATGTGGATGCGGCGCGCGCGCGCTCCAGCCACCAGCTGGGAGTCCCCCGCTGCGGCTGAATTCACACTTGGCAACCCTATTCTGGGAGGTTTCTAGGCCCCACCTGGAATGTGTTCCACTAGTGAAAGTTGTGAGCTGTAGGTGCCAGCAAGTGGAGTTCTTCTATTACCCACTTTGGGTCTGTCTCATAGCAGTTGTGGGGCAATCTCCAAAATGTTTTCCTTCTGCTACAACAGATTGACACAGCTACCCCTCTTCAGTTAGACCAGCCTTCCATTTTCTGAAATAGGAGGGCTGGGTCGAGGCAAATTCTTCTTTGGCTTGGATGTTGAATCTCAGCTAGAGAAAATTCCAGGCTTGTATTCAAAGCCTGTACTCTACGAACAAGAAGGATGATTTTTGGTGGCCTCCCTCTTTTGCTGGATCTTAGTGAGATGATTTGCATGAGTGGCAGCCAGGTGACCTCCTCCTTTAACATCTGGTTATATCCAGAGCCACCAAGGTCCCTGGTTTCTACTGAACAATAGTCGCCAAGAATTATGAAGAACTCACTCACTCACTCACTCACTCACTCACTCACTCCCTCACTCACTCACTCCTTCCCTTGTATCAATACTGTGAAGCAGGGCTCCTTTTGTAGAAAAAGCCCAGCAGGAACCTATTAGCATAATAGGCCACACCCAACAGCAGAAACTCATTAGTATACTAGGCCACACCCCTGACAGCACAGCTCATTAGCACATTAGGCCACTCCCCCATGTTACCAGAAGTGCGTTACCAGCCCCACCTACCTTTTGCTTGTTATTCCGTTTACCTTGTTTGTTGTCAAAAACCAGGGCTTTTTTTGTAGCAGGAACTCCTTTGCATGTTAGGCCACACACCCCTAATGTAGCCAATCCTAATGAGTTTCTGATGTTGGGTGTGGCCTATTATGCTAATGAGTTCCTGCTAGGCGTGGCCAATTCAGGAGCCAGCCGGAACTCCGTTCCTGTGCGTTCCTGTCCAAAAATAGCCCTGCTGTGAAGGAATGTTTAAGAAATTGGAGGGTTTGGACCAGGAAGGGTTGGTTGGCATGTTGGTACTTCTTAAAAACAATGAACCTGATAGCCATCCTTCTGGATGGTGCAGTTCATTTGGCATTAGCGGTGGCAGCAACATGCAAGACTTGCCAGCTGTATTTCTAGAAAGAAGAAAGAAGCTGACTTGATTAAAACAGCATGAGAGAGTTTTGTGAGATGAGGCAGGAGAAAATCGACTCCTCGTAGCTCCCTGCTGAACATAAGCAATGTAGCAGAGGTGAGCCTGGGATTTTTCACAGAATCTCAGGGGGTCCGGGCTCAAAAGGAGCATTGAGGTTATCTAGTCCAATTTCTGAAAATGGCAGTGATTTAGCATCAATGGCCTTGCTCCTTTAGCATAAGAGGACAGCACAGAGAGAGAGAGAGAGAGAGAAACAAACAGCAGCAACACCATATCCATTTGAGAAGCAGGACACAGCCCAAAGGAGGTTAATGAATGTCACTCAACTAACACGTTAATTGGGCCTATCAGAGTTGTACCGGGGACTGAAGTAACCTACAGTTCTTGTACATTAAGTGTTTAGTAACGTGGCTCATGACTCTAGCTGGCGAGAATAAAAATCAGTGGGCGTACATGGATATGCTGGGGTGTGTTTCAAGACCCCGGGGAACAGGTTTGTTGGCTGCAGAAGTGAGTGTTTGCTGGAGGGAATTGCTTTTCTTGGCCGCCTCCAGTAACAAACAGATGTCCTTGTTTCCAGAGATTGTTACGAATTTTCCACACTGTACTGCCGAGTTGATCCCGGTGCGTTGATTCGATTAAGGGTACGGGACAGCGCAGGCCTGGCATTCCGGCTGTTTACCGAAACACACTTTTTCCTCATCTGTGACCATTTAGTAATCCATAAAAAACGATTTTCAGATTTATGAGGAAACAGATATCCTGCCGAGAGGGCACAGCAACAGCCCAAAAATAGATTCCTGCTTTTGTACTCCACCTTAATTGCGCTGCGCATTCCGTGACTGTCGGATGACGTTCCAAGCACAACATATTCTGTATGCAAGGATTGTTAACATTTTACAGCGCAAAGCTTGCTATCGCTTGGTTGCTCCAGCATGTCACAGATCCAGAGGGTGTGCAGTGCTGGAAAGGTACAGTGTGTCCAGGTCCGGCTCTTCCACTAGGCCAACTAGGGTGATGGCCTAGGGTGCAGATCACATGGCACCATACAATAGCCTGGGCCGCCACAAAAGAGCCGTGCGGGAGCCGTCGGAGCTTTTAAAGGGCCTCTCTCTTCTCCTTGCTTTTTTGCCTCCGGGCTCAACCAGCAAATCCCGCTCGCCTGGGCTCCTTTGTCACCTCTGGAGTGGCTCAGAGGGGCAGCGGTGAGAGAGAAGAGCCGCTTTGCTTTCAACCAGAGGGCGCTGGCGCCACGCAGCCCCGACAGGACGGGACGAGACGGGAGGAGGTACTTGCCAAAGGAAAGGTAGCTCAGTTGTCGCTCCCTGGGCACAGCGAATGCACAGGGGAGAGGGGGGAGGGGGAAGGCAACACCCACCCAAGCTGAGTGGGCCCTGGTGCTTCCCTCCCAGCTGGGATTTTTTGCGGGCCTGTGGGACGTGGGGGGGGGGCCAGGGCCTGCTCCTCCGGGAAAGGGCTGGAGAGAGTGGGACTATTCCCTCCTCCTCCTCCTCTCTTGTGATGCACTAGACTGGCCCTGGGTCCCAGAGAGACAGAAGCCAGGGCTCCCGCAGGCAACTGCTCTGTGGGGAGATGGCCACCGAGGCCTGTAGCTTAGGGAAGTTTACAAACAAACAAAATCCCGGAGCAGAGCTTGGCAGGTAATAACGATGAGAACGAAATGGAGCCTCCATGTTGGGTGAGGGGGGGGCACCATGAGGCAGCCACTCCTGGGGGGGGGCACAAGCTAGCCTCACCTAGTGCGCAAAAAAACCTCAGGCCGGCCCGGAGTGTGTCATCCAAACCCCTGTGCTATGGCAGTGTTCAAAAACGAGCATACACTTATTTATTTAGTTTATTTTTATCCCATTCCTCCTTCAAAGAACCAAGGGTAGCATATACCCTTCTTCCCTCCTTCATTTATCCTCCCAGCATCCCTACAAGCTAGGTTAAGCTGAGACAGAGCAGCTGGCCCAAGGCCACCCAGTGAGTTGCATGGCGGGGTGAAGATTTGAATTTGGGTCTCCCAGACTCTAGCCACAACGCTATGCTGGCATACGGTCTTTAGTTGGTCCAATAAAATACCCTCTTTGCTCGCTTAGGGATGGGTCAGTTTCCTGTGGAAGAACCAATATCCTTTTGCAGAGGGAACATCTTACACTCACATGCTCGCGCACACACTCACAGAGTAGAGTTTCCAAGGCAAGAGACATCCAGAGGTGGCCAGCCATTGCCTGACTCTGCATAACAACCCTGGACTTCCTTGGGGTGATTCCGCATTGGCTTTCCTCTCTGTTGTTTTACCAAAGGTGCAGCTCAAAACCACATTCAGATACCCCAGGGCAATGACTGAGAAGTCACCCCTGGACGGCCATAAATCTAGGCAGAAGGCACCATAAAACCCGACGATCAAAGAAAGTGAAAGCGGCATGCAGTGTAGAAGGTACCATAAAACCCGATGATCAAAGGAAGTGAAAGCGGCATGCAATGCAGAGGGGAATTTCTGTTCCGTCCTGGGTTTGGTAAAACAACGGAGGAGAAGCCAATGCAGAATCACCCTTGGTCTCCCATCCAAGTATTAAACAGGACCAACTCTGCTTAGCGTCTGAGATCTGTAAGTGGTCTGGTGTTCACCTGCAGGCTGGAGTTTGCACTAGAGGGTGTCCTGCATAGTCAACGAGACTCACCTCATTCTTCTTATACTCTGGACTGGGACATTCCTGGAGATCTGGAGGCTGGGGTTTGGGGGGGAGGGGGGGACCTCAGCAGGATATAATTTATTTAAATCTATTTATTTATTTAAAACATTGTTGTGCCGCTTTCCCGCCTAATCAGGGTCCCCATTGTGGTGAACCTAAAAAAAAAAAGTAAATCATTTTTTTTTTGGGGGGGGGAGTTAAAATATTTGCCATAGAGCCCACCGTCCAAAGCTGCCATTTTCTCCAGGGGAACTGATCTCTGTAGTCTGGAGAGGCGTTGTAATTCTCGGAGATCTCTGGGAGTTTGGCAACTCCGTTCCTCTGCCAGGGTATTGGACCACTACCGTGGTAAATGCGCATGTGGCAGGGGTTAGTCTCCACCGAGAGGGACCCCATAATGCCCCTCCACTGTACGAGACCTCTCTCCACATGCACCCGCAGAACCCATCCATCACGGTGACGAGCATTTGGCTAGTTGAGAATACTTCCCGAGAGTTTCCAGCAGAGCGCCAGGGCTTGGCCCACAATCAGCACGCTCAGCTTTCTCGCATCCCATTTGTCCCACAGGCAGAGTCTCATTAACCAGCCCTCGATAAACTGCCAAGCCCGAAACCTTATCGAGCACTTTCTCATCGTCTTCTTTGAAATGGTCTGATGGGCTGGAAAAATCGGTATCATTTATACAGTAAGCGCAGGTTCCGGGCGGGGGTGGGTGGGGCGGGGGAGACGGACTCAAAATACATGAGCTATCATATTCAGCGGCGGAGAAAGGCCATTACAATATAATTAGAAAATTCCTTGTGCATTCTTTAATGCTCCATTCTGATTTTTCATGTGACTCGTTTGTTCTGCGAGGCACTCTGTTTGCTCAATGGAACGATGATACACTCCCTTGGTGTCCCAAGGGAGAGAATAGCATCTCATTCCGTTGAATTGGGCAAGTGGTTAAAAGGGGTGACTCAAAGATGTCAAGGAACGTTTCTGGAAATCTGTACAAGGGTGGGCTGGAATGGGCCATGCACATCTGAAGAGCCGTTTTCGCAGAACTCAAAAGAAGGCAGTAGACTGCGGTTGCCAAATTCCAGACAGTACTACTTCAGACTGCCCATATAGAATCACATTTTTGACACTCTTGCTTATAAAGTAAAGGAAAAGGTTCCCTTGCTCGAAAGCCAGTCAAACCCGACTCTAGGGCTGCGGTGCTCACCTCCGTTTCAAAGCCAAAGAGCCAGCGCTGTCCAAAGACGTTTCCGTGGTCATGTGGCCGGCATGACTAAACACCAAGGAGCTGCGGTGGCTCAAGTGGTTAAGAGGCTGAACTGCAGGCTGTGGAAGGTCGGTAGTTCAGCAGTTCGAGACCCGGGTGCCGCATGACGGGGTGAGCTCCCGTCTCTAGTTCCCACTCCTGCCAACCTAGCAGTTCGAAAGCAAGAAATTGCAAGTAGATAAATAGGTACCACTTCGGTGGGAAGGTAACAGCGTTCCGTGCTTATAAAGAAATGCATATAAAGTAGCACATCACAGAGAGAGGCGAAGCACAGTCCTCTTCCTGACGTGCTATTTGCTTATGTGTCAGAATCTCTTATAGTGGTGTGCATGCGTAATGTGCTGAGTCACAGCTGACTTATGGTCACCCCAACAAGGGGCTTTCAAGGCAAGAGATGTTCAGAGGTGATACGCTGGTGCCATCCTCTCCGTAGCAACCCTGGACTTCCTTGATGGTCTCTCGTCTAAGTACTAACCAGGGCTGACCCTGCTTAGCTTCTGAGGTATGCCAAGATCGGGCTAGCCCGGGCCATCCAGGTCAGGGACCTTATCGAGGTCAGAGAGCCAGTTTGGTGTAGTGGTTAAGTGTGCAGACTCTAATCTGGGAGAACCGGGTTTGATTCCCCACTCCTCCACTTGCACCTGCTGGTGTGACCTTGGGTCAGTCACAAGCTCTGGCGCAGCTGTTCCTGAAAAAGAGCAGTTTCTGTCAAGAGCTCTCTCAGCCCCACCCACCTCACAGGGTGTTTGTTGTGGGGAGTGGGAGGGAAAGGAGTTTGTCAGCCGCTCTGAGACACCTTTGGGTAGTGAAGGGCGGGGTATAAATCCAATCTCTTCCTCTTCTTCTTCTATACTGGTGGTGGTGGGGGATTCAGAAATGTGAACCTAGGCTTGCTGTCTGAAGTAGTACGGTTAGGGTCGCCACCCTCCATCTGGGGCCTGGAGAGCTCCCGGAATTACAGCAGATCTCCAGAGTACAGAAATCCGTTCCCCTGCATAAAATGGCTGAATTGGAGAGTAGCCATTATATGGCATTACATCCTTACTGAGATCCCTTCCCTCTCCAAACCCCGCCCTCCCCAGATTCCACCCCCCAAGTCTCAAGGAATTTCCCAATCTGGTGGTGGGGCCTAAGCTGGGTATAATACCGTACAGTCCGTCCTCTAAAGCAGCTATATCCTCCAGGGGAAATGATGTATGTTTTCTAGAGGTCAGTTGTAATTCTGGAAGATCTCCAGGCTCCACCTGGAGGTTGGCAAGCCTAGTAAGAAGAGTCATGCTGCATCTGATCGACTGTCCATACAGTCCAGCAGTCTATACAACATCCCTACAACGACAAACCCAGTGACTCAGAGACCAACGGCATACGCAGATGCTGCCCTCTAAAACTGGCATTCAGTGATACACCGCCTCTGGACACGGCCATTCCATTTAGCCATCACTGAAGGACCCCTCCTCCATGAATTTATCTAAGCTTCTTTTCAAACTAATTCCACAGGGCATCTAAATCATGGGTGCTTGGACACTGGATGCTTTGGTTCACATTCTGCTTGCTGGTCATGACCAAGGAGCTGATTTTTCATCAAGCATTTTGACTGTTTATGATCAGCTGGGGCCTGTTTGGCAGCTGTTTTCCATGTAACCAAACAGTAGTACGGTCAGGGGCTGCCCTTGAAAATAGTCCAGAAACTTGGTGGTGGTGGAAAGTGCCGTCAAGTCACAGCTGACTTCTGGCGACCCCGTTGGGTTTTCAAGGCAAGAGACGTTCAGAGGTGGCTTGCCATTGCCCGCCTCCACGTCACGAGCCTGGTATTCCTTGGAAGTCTCTGACCCTGCTTAGCTTCTGAAATCGCCTGGGCTATCCAGGTCAGGGCTCCAGAAACTGGACCGCCTCCTCCCATTTTCTGTCCTTTCCATCAGTTAAGATCTGCCTTGCCAGCCTTTCTCTCTCTATGGGGAGGGAATGTCTTTTCCCCAAAACTACACTTTTTTAGATCTAACAATTGATTCCTCTTCTCTCTTTTCCTCTTTTAAAAGAAGGATTTCTCTTTGAAGAAAAATCAATGCAGCCATTTGTAACTTTAACCCTTGCAGTTGTTTTATGTTACACATCACAGCGTGGTGCTGTAGCAGGAGGGGAGGAAAGTTTGGGGAGACGCTGCCTGCCGGTGAGCATCTACAGGGTGAAATTCTGACATTTTATAGGCCTGCTCTTTCCAAAGTATATGGTAATTAGCTGATAACAGATGCCACACATGATACAGCCTGGAGAGGATAAGGCATGGTATTCTAGCCGCTGTCGTCTATAAACAAAGTAGATCTGACCCCCATTTTGTGGAAAGGAACATCTAGATATTGGGCAGAGCAATTTGGCAAGGTGGAACAGCTTTTGGTAATTATTTTCCTTGATAAATGACTACGGTCATGGCGAGAACCCCACTGGCTCAAGAGCAGGGATCCAAATGGAGTAGCGCAGTGACTTCCTGAGTGAGGCAAGGCAAGGCATTAAAGTGATCGCATTAAGCAATGATCGTTAGCAAAGCAGAATGCAAGTTGCCACTGATAATGTCTTAAACCTAATTAAATCTTTGGCTCATTGGACATGACAAAATATAAACACTGTTTGGGTCACAGTTTATTAGACTCGAGGGAAGAAGAGCTCCGAGCGTGCCAAACCCCCCTCCCCTAAAATAAAAATAGACAGCTACAAATGGGAACAACAGAAGCAAAGTGGTTAAAGAACGAATGGGGATGAACATCCATTAATGTTGTCATCATTACTGATCTACAGGTGAAAGGCCTGTGAAGTTTAACAGGCAGGGGAGTGGGGCGGGGCGGAGAGATTCGGGGCCAAAACGTGCAATGTGGGAGATTCTTGACCAGGTCTCCAGAGTAATTTTGAACACTAAAACAGCCATCCAATTGACTTGAACAGCAGCGCTAGGACAGAGAGTACTTAACCCTTCCCCCCAAGCCATTTTCTTGATTGTTACTACCCTCTTACAAAAAGCTTTTGCAGAATACAAGAACCTGTATTGAACCTGTATATTTTTGCTGTTTCGAAAATTGTCATGGAGGATAGGACTAACCCCACCCCCAGTCCTGCAGCTGTGTTCCAAATAGCTTCCTCCCCACAGTGGCTTTTAAATCCACATGGCAAGTTGGGAGGTCCAGTCGCGGTTCTGTTTTAGCCCAGAGTCCTTTCCTCAGTGACATCACCACTCTTTTTACCTCCCTTGAATGTGTCTCCGAGAGGTAGGAGGAAGGATACTGCAGAGGCAACATTCCCAGGTTCAGTCTTTGCTGTTCACGATCTAAGGATGCATTCTTCAACAAGAGAGGGGCTTTGGCTCAGTGGCAGAACATCTGCTTGGCATGCAGAAGGTCCCAGGTCCAATCCCTGGCATCTCCAGTTCAAAGGATCAGGTTATAGGTAATGTGAAGGGTCTCAAGATCCTGTAGAGCCACTGCCAGTCTGAGTAGACAATACTGACTCCGATGGACCGGTGGTCAGGCAGCTTCCTGTAGGCAGCTTCCTGTCTCCATGTGACAATCCCTGGAGAGCAGATTCCAGTCAGAACAGACAATACAATGATCAGTTTGCTAGGAATAGGGGGAAGAGACTCTCTGTCTCTGGTGAAGGATTTGGAAGTGGCTTCCCCTTCTTTCGAAGAATGGGGGCCCATCGGGCTGCTACCATCCACAGCAGTAAACCAGTTTTCGCTCTGATTTTCAATGAATTTTGTTTTACCCTAGAGATAGAAGGAACTCTGCACACATGGACACTAATAGCTAACATATGAGTCCCAGACACTAATAGCTAACATATGAGCCCTGGACACTAATAGCTAACATATGAGCACATATGTGCCCCGGAGGACACTGAGGTCTATGAATCAACATCTTCTAGTAGTCCCCGGCCCCAGGGACATCCGACTAGCCTCAACCAGGGCCAGGGTTTTTTTTGGCCCTGGCCTCCACCTGGTGGAATGAGCTCCCACAAAAGATCAAGGCCCTGCGGGATCTATTATAGTTCTGCAGGGCCTGCAAGACAGAGCTCTTCCACCAGGCCTTTGGTTGAGGCGGCAGACATCCCTTTCCTCTCCTGGCTGTCTCCCCCTCAGCAGCCTGGATCTTAACATCGGTACTGCTGGATTGACATCGGCGGCCTGAATCTTAATATCAGTACTGCTGATCAGAATTAGATTGTTGCATGGTATTTTATGGTTAGACTGTTTTAATTGTTACTTTAATTATTGTTTAAATGGTATTGTATTGAGACTGTTGTGAACCGCCATGAGCCCATCCGCGGGGAGGGTGGTATATAAATCAAACAAATAATAAATAAATAAATAAACAGTGCTTGCAAATGAGCATTGGAAGTGCGAT